TGCCATCTCCTGCCATAACGCACTGATTGGCTATCAAATGCGATGGATTTTATGGCCTCTGAGTCTATCTATCTATCTATCTATCTATCTATCTATCTATCTATCTATCTATCTATCTATCTATCTATCTATCTATCTATCTATCTATCTATCTATCTATCTATCTATCTATCTATCTATCTATCTATCTATCTATCTATCTATCTATCTATCTATCTATCTATCTATCTATCTATCTATCTATCTATCTATCTATCTAATCTGTCCACCTGCGACTTTTCGCTCTTCTGGCCGTTTCGATAATGATATCCATGCCAAAACTGGTATGGCATACCATGACTGACTGACGAGCATAAGTGACTGGTCATAACATAAAGGTCATCACATGCATATCATGAATGTCATGATTCACAATTCATGGTCTTGCTGCTCTTGCGGTGGTTTGGTTCACATCACTTGTTGCAAAACTAGAATGGTATGACATGATTGCATGGCGGACACTAATGACAGATCCTAACGCGAAAATTATGACATGCGTGTCATGCAAGAACATCACTACATGCTACGCTTATGATGCGCTCACGGCCGTTTAGCTAGCTTCACAGATACCAAATGTGGTATTACGTGATGTGAATGGACGTCAAAGTTTTGGACTTGTGTAAACATGACAATCATGAGATGCGTGTCATGTAAAAACATGACAACTTACCACCCTAATGATGCAGTCGCGGCCGTTTCGCTAGCTTAATATATACCTAATTTGGTATTACATCGCGTTAATGAACAATGAAGGTAAATCACGCGTCTAAAAATGATAATCATGATGCGTGTCATTTCAAATTGCCACAAGCTACACTCATGATGATCTCGCGGCCGTATCGCTAGCTTGACACATACAATATCAGGTATTACGGGACGTGAATGCATGACGAAGGTATGTGAATGGTGCAAACATGATATTAATGAGATGCGTGTCATGTAACAATATGACTACATGAAACGCTCATGATGCGCTCGCGGCCATTTCGCTAGCTTCATATAACAAATTTGGTAATACGTCACCTGAATCCACGACGAAGATAAGTAAACATGTCAAAACATCATACTCATGGCATGTGTGTCATGTAACACATGACTACATGCTACGCTCGTAGCGCGCTCGCAGCCGTTTCGCCAGCTCAACGTATGCCAAATTTGGTATCACGTGACATCAATACACGACGCAGGTAAATGACACGTCCAAACATAATAATTATGGCAACAAAGTCTTGTGCGGCATTATTGACGTCTGCCTTGTAAAGTTCTGCTGATTTTAAAGTGACATATGAAGCTCCCTCATTCGTGCTTCGCATATCATCAATTCGCACAATACGTTAGATGTGCCTTTTTTTTGCTTTTTTCACTTTACCTCTGTCATTTCTATTTCGAGAAGGCTTCGAGTTTTGTGACTGCCCTTGATTTATATGTTCTGTTATATTTGTCGCATATAAAAACGTTGCGCTGAACAGACAAAAATGGTAGAGTAGAGCCTGTCACTAATATTCATCAATCGCTATCGTTGGTTTGTCCAATTTCATGGATTCTGTCTTGAACACTGAAAAATCGTTGCCGAAGTCAGTAGCACCAATTCACAGTATTTAAACAGCTTGTACAAAGGAGAGATTTACTAATATCTGACCAGCTGTTTGTTTTGAATGATTTCGAAAACAATAAGGTGATCGAAATTTGACTTCTTGCACTCTAAGTGCACTATAGAATAATTTTATTTTTTTAAATTGAGCATCACTAGAGTAAAACGTGGTTTTGGTGCTTCACTGCACCTCAGTTACATGATTGTTTCACCGCACAGCCAGCCTTTAATGCAGTGCACGACATTGTATGAACTTTGTAAATATAGAGTGCACGTATAAGGCCTTTTGAAAACGCACGTTTTGATTATTTATTTGTAAGTAAAGTGCGAGATGGTCTATACACCCCCAAACCAAACGACGGCCTCCCTCCCGCCCTTCCCTAATATGCACATGTTCGCACCTTTATAATCATTTATCCTTAAGACGCGTTTCTTTGGGCCCATACTCCTTTCACGTAGATGTCCAGGCAAGTTGTGCAACAAATCGCTTCACACACACACACACACACACACACACACACACACACACATATATATATATATATATATATATATATATATATATATATATATATAAGGGATAGAAGTGTATACCTAAGGGCTCGTTTTTCCGTGTTTTGACACAATATTAATGAGATCTAACAGACAGTAATGCCAAGGAATGTAGGAATGTATAGGGGAAGTTATTAGAACCAATGGAGTGTAAATAAGAAGAAAGAAAAGTGGGTGAAAAAATAACCAACTGTGGGCAGGAATCGAACCTACGACCTTCGAATTACACGTTCGATGCTGTAACCACTGAGCTATCTCAGTGGCCTTCACTCCATCCACTTTTTTTGGGTTTATTTGTGAATTTAGAAGTAGGAGTGCCAGTCAGCGCCATCTATAAGCCAAGCGACGAGCGTGAAACACTCTTTTATGCGCATGTCTGGCGTCACGTAGCATGTGAACTTATTACGAGCGGGCAGCTGATCAATGGTCCCTCGTATACAACCTAATGACACCAAGTCTGCCAGTACGAGACCCTCGTTAATGAATAAGGGCAAGAAGTGTATACCTAAGGGCTCGTTTTTCCGTGTTTTGACACAATTTTAATGAGATCTAACAGACAGTAATGCCAAGAAATGTATAGGGGAAGTTATTAGAACCAATGGAGTGTAAATAGGAAGAAAGAAAAGGGGGTGAAAAAATAACCAGCCATGAGCAGGAATTGAACCTATGACCTTCGAACAACGCGTTCGATGCTCTAAGCACTCAGAGAATACGATGCGATGAGCTCGAGATGGTATAGAGAGATGGAATGGAAAATGAAGATAACGATGTGAAGAGATAGCAATGAGAGTCGATGAGATGATGACTGAGGCAGAGATGATATGACGAGGAATGAAAGTTAGAGATGGAAAGCGAGGAAGTGAGTAATTGCGGATTGTTATGAAAGAAGATTAAGAAGGAAATCACTGAGAGAGACAATGAAGACGACGAAGACGATGAAGACTGACAACACGGACCACTCGTGAGATGAACTTTGTGCGCCCTATTTAGACGAGCCTTGCACGCATGGAAGCGGCGCGTTGAGACATTGCGTGGTTTCATTCATTAATAACTCCATCATTTGTGTCGTCGTGTGTTTTTTTATATGCATACCCTTGTATTGTTGCAGTTATACTTTCTTTATGTGCCTGCTCTGTGTCGAACGTCGCGAGTGTCTAAATCATATGTTATAATTTTGTGTAGTGGTTGATGTACGCGGGTATACGATGTTTGCAGTTAGTAATAAATTAAATGAATCAGTAAACAGGAACAGGTCGTAGCGTCTCTTACTTCGCGGCCCCAGCACGAATCCCTGTATGTGGGAAGTGATTGAGACACATAGCCAAGAGGGAACCGCATAGACAAGGGGTTGAGTGGTCTTCCCGCTCTTTGGTAATCGGTTGCGTAGCGGGGGACGTCTCAAGTGGTCTCAAAAAATATATATATATATATATATATATATTTATATATATATATATATATATATATATATATATATATATATATATATATATATATATATATTGTGGGAATGTTTAGCGGGTCTGGTACGCATAAGAACCTGGTATACGTACGAGAAACCAAGCAGTTCTTTTATAGATTTACGTTTCGGCCGTGGCCGAAACGTAAGTCTATAAAGGAACTGCTTGCTTTCTCGTACGTGTACCAGCTTCATATATATATATATATATATATATATATATATATATATATATATATATATATATATATATATTCGTGGGGGGGGGGGGCGGTCATGTCTTTTTAACTCTTCCACTTCGATTATCATGGGCCAGACGTGCAGTGCGCTGCTCAGTTGTGAAGCCTATTTGTGAAGTACGCGTTTTGTAACTTATTCAGCTATTGCTTGCTACCTAATTATTTACTTGTTTATTTTGTTGAAACACTTATGTAATGAATTCTCGTCCCTGTATGTTTTTTTTGGTCATGTGTGTTAGTGATGGGGCTCGCCTAATTTATTTCTCACATATGTTCCACAGATTCACCCTTGAGTAATTGCTTAGGGCTTACGCGGTGATATAACTTTTTTATATTTCTTGTCACTCTCACTGTCGCACTCGCCTCAGTCATGTGACCAAGTTTTACAGATTTCGTGTGAACTCAGTATGCACGGTGATGGTCGCCTTATTTCTAAAGAGAGAGAGAGAGAATTGATAGAAAAAAATATAGAGAGGTTGGCCTGAGCTAGAGTTTGCTTTGACATGCTTCTGTACGCTGTAAAAGGGCGACAGGGAAGCGAAAGAGTGGTGAACGACGATGGTAAGTCTGGGAGATTATAATATGGCGTTGTTACACGAGGATAAAAATATATTGGTGGCTGCTGTTCATGGCGATGATGATTTTCGTTTATTTAGGTAACGTGTAAAAGATACGAGTGACGTGATTATGTGCAGCTCCACTGCGAAAATTCTACGTAAGGCGTGAACACAATACGTCGAACCATGGGTAGTTCCATTGTTGCGTTTTGTATTCATGCGCAGCATTACATTTCCTCATTCAGGCACTCAATGTAGTTGCGCCCTATAAGGGGTGCACATTTCTTAAATTTAGTCATATGTGCTAGCTGCAGTCGTTTGCTCACTTTTGCAGTAATCACCTTTATTTGGCAATCGCTGAACGTCTTCCTACTCGTGACAACACTGCCTTGGTGTTTAATAATGAATATGCCGGAACTGAAGTCCCGGTTAGCATAGCTGTTTAGACGTGTAGTGTAGAACAATACAAAGCGCAGGAATATAAACATCGCAACTGCCTAACAACTACCAATTCGAATCGCGTGCTACTAAATTATATGACCAAATGAACATAAATATTTGGATAGAATTCAGGAAGGATATATATATTTAACCGTTTTAATAAATTATTGGCGCAATGAATTTTCGACAGATTTTGAATTTGCATAATCTCTCATGTACTGTTAATATATACGTCATAATCGATTGTTCGGCTCAAATAGAAAACGTACACTGATGGACGCTCTGGTGTCAGCGATACTACATTCCTCTTCAACAGCGAGGTGCCACGCGCGTAATTTGCTTTCATTGCGGCCAGTGCGTGAAAAGCATCGGCGAGGTCACTTGCACATCATGAAGGTGCTACAAAGGAAGTCGTCGTAGGTGACCTTGGCCGATCCCGTCTTGTCCGGGTCGAATGTCTTGAACTCCTCCGTGGCATCCTGCATGATGACGCACAGGCGCAGGAAGTCTTCAAGCACTATCTTGTTATCACCTTGCTGATCGAAGCGACGAATCATCATGTGGCACAGGCTGAGCGACACCTGATGACCCAGGTTGCTAAAGACCGTGTGCAGATCCGTCTTGTCCAGGCGACCACAGTTGGTGCGATCGACCCTGCGTTTCGTACGTGTCGTTATTAGTGAAACATTTCCGTGCTGTTAACGAACAGATATTGAGATGCAACTTAATAAGACTTGTTGCCGGGCCAGTTGGTTCATGCGTCTTGTAATTAGAGACAAGGCGCGTAGCCACCATGGAAGGACTCAAGACAGAAAAGGATACATCGTCTCTCGTAGCGGTTGTGAGTGACGCCCTTTTGTGCTCTGTCTCGCGTCCTTCTTATCCAATAACTCATTCACTTTAATAAAATTGCGTTAAAGAACTCGTTCAGCCGAAATTACGGCGTCAGCGTCGGTGTCGGTGAAGTGGGTTGGGAGCGAAAAATCACCGTCTTGCCTGTGACAGAAAAATATAGAAAGGTGCAAATCACATTAATAATAAAACTTTTGGTGAGAGTGACGATCTAACCCAGGCCGTGTGTGGGGCAAACAAGTATTCGACCACTCAGCTACGACGTTTGTCAAAACTGTTTTAGTGGGAAACACTATATGGATGCCGTATAGTGCAAAGAGTCATTTTAGTGCATCATGCATTGCGTCGCAGAAACGGCTGTTACGCTAGCGTCAAATATACCAAATTTCGTATTAGAGTACGTACATGGATGAATAAGGTATGTGACTAGTGCAAACATGATAAACATGAGATGAGTGTCATGTAACAACATGACTACGTGCTACGCGCTCATGATGCACTCGCGGCCGTTTCGCTAGCTTTACATGTACCAAAATCGGTTTTACGCTACGCGAATGGACGACATAGGTAAATGACACATCCAAACATGATAATCATGACATGCGTGTCATGTAACAGCATGACTACATGCCACACTGATGATGCGCTTGCGGCTGTTTCGCTAGCTTCACATATGCCAAATTTGGTATTACGTGACGCCAATGGATGACGAAGGTATGTGATTGGTGCAAACATGATAATCATGAGATGCGTGTCATGTGAGAACATGGCTACATGCCACAGTCACGGCGCGAATTCATTCCGACGTGACGCGGTGCGTGTCCTTGCCGGGGATATCGGTGTCAGTAAGGAGAGACGCGGGCGCTTCGCGAAGTGATCGGACGCGACGCTCATCGGCTCCGTCGATTTTCGGCTGGAACCGTGCTCTCTTCAATGTGGCTGCTCTAAAACTTGTGTGACTGCATCTGCCAAGTCAGCAAGATTCTGGGGACACCGATCTCACCCAGGTACGCCCAATTTTCGGCCACTTCGAGCAACTTTGCATCACAACGTAGCGAACGAGCTAAGCCTCACGGCGGCGGCTCCGCCGCTGCTGGATGCGGAGACGCCGCTCGGTCAACTCCTCAACATGGCGCTGCCTGAACAACGTGGCTACGACCCTACGACTCTGTCGTGGTCGTATATCCCGACAAATCCATCAGACGACGGCCCATCCACCATTTCGGCGGAGCAAGCCGACATTTTTCAACTCGTCGAGGGTCGGCGTCGCCGCCGAAGAAACGCGGAAGGAGCGTCTGCACTGAAAACTCCTCTCAACAATTCAGCCACTGGAGACGCTCGCGCTCCATCTCCTAAAGCTCCACAAAAGACTTCACCAGTCTCCAAGTGGACGCCGAAACCAACGGTCAGGATGAATCCTGGCGACTACGTGATCGTGCTCAAGCCACGCATCACAGTAGCCCTCAAGGCAGCGTTTCAACAAGGTGAGCTCGGCGCTGCCATTTCCCAACTCATCGGAAGGCAGCACATGAATGAAATCAGCATTTCTCCCAATTGGGAGCAAAACATCATCATCTGTGGCACGCAGAATAACGAGGTGGTTCAGAAACTGCTGTCGGACTTTCAAATCAACACCAGCAAAGGACCGCTGCCGCTTCGCGGTCACCTCAAGCTCACCGGTGATGTGTGTCGCGGCGTGATTTCTGTGCACAACCTCGAAACCAGTGCGTCTCTGAAACATAGTGTGCAGTGGCGTGGCGGTGAACTAGTCTATGCGCGCAAGCTGGGGAACTCCAACGTAGCTGTGTTGACTTTCGCGGGAAGGAAGGTTCCGCGTTTCGTCCACTATAACGCAGAACTGACTCCCGTCAGGGAGTGCAAGAAGACAGTGCCAGCGTGCTACCGCTGTGGTGCACTGGGGCACCGGGCGGATATCTGTCCCAACCCGGTCACCGAAAGATGCAGCCTTTGTGGCCAAAACGTGGGCGCTGGTCCTGAGGGGATGGCCCCCCACGAATGCAACCCAACGTGCATAGTTTGCGGGGGTCCGCACCTCACCAGCTCCCGCGAATGCACTGAAAAATTCATCAGGCTTCAGCAACCAGGGTCCAGGACATCGGGGACCCCAACAAAACCAAAGCACCGGTCAACTGGCAAAGTGCCAATTCCTGGCAAAGCAGCAACGGCAACGCTACCACCTGGCGCGGCGGAATCTCCAGCTCTCGGCGCTCCATCTGGCAACGCTGCACGCAACCAACCCAAGGTGGGCAGTTGGGTGGAGGTCGCCTCCTCTCCCTCCTCTCTCTCCTCTCCACCTTCTTCTGCCACAAGCACTACCGAAACACAAAAACTCAGGCATGAGCTCGCCCTTTTGCGATCTCAGAATGAAAAACTAGCCAGCGAACTTGACTCGCTCAAAACCAATCTCACTACTAAGCCCTCGTTGAGCGACGAAGAGGAAAATATAACAGACAGGGAGATTCCTACTACTGTAGAGAGTCGCGTCGCGGCCCTGGAGACCCAGGTGAATGCAATAGAAACACAATTGGCCGACCTCCCCAAAATTATCCACGACACCATCGCGCGTCATATGGAGACTGTCATCGCACAGGTGACACAAACAGTAACTCACATTATCCAAAAGTGGATACAAGACAATCCACGCGTCCTCAAGCGCGTAGGGCCAATTAGGGACGTTAATCGCCCCTCAAAACTTAACAGAGTGACTCCAGATGAGTCGGACTTTTCTGAAGACTCCAGTACGTCAGCACAGGGTGCTGGTGAACTGAGTAATCTTAACAACACAACCCCACCCTCTATCTCCGAACATGGCCTCCAACCCTAGGTCGCGAGCCAGAGCAACTCAGCCATTGTTACTAACACAGTGGAACTGCAGAGGTCTCAAGAACCACTAGAAGCGGGCTCATTTCCGCCTCTATCTTGAGACTTTTGAGTTCCTTGTTGCCGTGGTTGCCCTTCAGGAACCCGGCTCGGACGTCAAACTCACAAATTACACTACATTTCAACACAACCCGGAGACATGTATACTTGTTCACAAGCAATATACCGCCCAGGAAGTCACACTCCCCACAACACCGCCTTTCCCATACACAATGGTGTCGGTGCTGCCTATAAGGCGATCTGACCCACCTGTTCATATTTTAAACATTTACTGTCCCCCAAAGCTTAAGAACGTCACGTTCAGCGAAACTTTCACACAAGCTATGCAGGTGGCAGGACGGGACCCCCTCCTGATCGTCGGCGACTTCAATGCCCCAAGCAGGTTATGGGGTTACCCACGAGAGGACACGCGTGGAAGGAAGCTTGCGGAACTTCTTTCTACACTTGGACTCACCCTCCACACTGATCCCGCCAGCCCAACACGTGTAGGCAACTCTGTTCAACGAGATACTTGCCCGGACCTCACAATTACACGCAACATACGCCATGCCGACTGGCTGAACACACAGGACACTCTCGGTAGTGATCATTGTGTATTAAACACAACTGTGTACATGCGTCCCTTAAACCGCCCACTTACACAAGCTCGTATCCCAGACTGGACAACTTTCCGCACCACTCTACCTATTGTAGACCCTCTCCAGTCGGGATACGACACCTGGTCTAAATCACTGACGTCTACACTGAAACAACACGAACAGCTGATACAGCTCACGGAAACTCAAACGGACGTGGACAACCACCTCGTCCATCTTTGGCAGGCCCGCCGCAGCCTCACCAAACGATGGAAAAAACAGAAACATAACAGACGCCTCAAGAAACGCATCCTAGAACTCACGGAGCAAGCTGCGGAATATGCTGCTCAGCTAGCCGACACTAACTGGGTGGACAGGTGCAACACGGCTGCACGCCAGATGTCTGGTCGCAACACGTGGCGCCTGTTTCGCGCTCTCATCGATCCAACACAAACACGCACGGAAACTCAACGTCACTTACATAAGGTCATGCACAACTTTACAGGAACGACAACACAGCTGGCAAACACGCTCAGGGACCGATACCTGTGCACCACCAAGGACCCCCGGACGGCCGCATACTCCTACGCAGGCAAAAAGAACACGCAGTTGGACACCCCGTTCCAGCTCCACGACCTCCAGGCGGCCTTACGCAAGATGAAGCGTGGCACTGCACCAGGGCGTGACCAGGTTACGGTCAAACTGTTGGCCAATCTTCCCGACGCAGCCTACGCCACGCTCCTCAAATACATCAATAGCATTTGGGACGGAGAAACTCCTCTCCCTCTTGAATGGAAATCAGCTCTCGTGACCTTCATCCCGAAGGCAGGTAAACCTATTGACGTGGAGAACCTTCGCCCCATCTCCCTCACGTCTTGTGTCGGCAAGCTGATGGAAACGATGGTGCGCGACAGACTCTCCGAGTTTCTAGAAACACAGCACACTTTTGCGGACACCATGTTTGGATTCCGCCCTCAGAAGTCAGCCCAGGATATACTTCTACAGCTCCACCATGACATATTAGATCCTGTTGAATGCCCCCACAATGACAAGGTAGTCCTGGCCTTGGATCTTAAAGGAGCATTCGACAACGTGAAGCATGAGGTAATCCTTGACCACCTCAGTCAGACCAACTGTGGTTATAAAACATTCAATTATGTTAGACAGTTTCTTACAGACCGTCAAGCCTACATACGCATACAAGATGAGGAACATGGGCCTTACGTCATCGGCTCGAGGGGAACTCCTCAAGGCGCGGTCCTCTCTCCCCTCCTATTTAATATAGCCATGCTTCATCTTCCCCCCAAATTGGCTTCTTTACCAGGGATACATCATGCTCTTTACGCGGATGATATCACGATCTGGGCCGCGCAAGGTAACCTGGGTCACATGGAGTCATGCCTGCAAGCAGCAGCGACTGTAGTCGACGACTACGCAACCTACTGCGGACTCCAGTGTGCCCCAGCTAAGTCAGAATTTGTGCACGTACGTCCCTCCCCTCAGGACACAACTCAGCTCCATATCAGTCTTCCCTCGGGACCGATCCGTGAGGCCAAGGAGATCCGCGTCCTTGGCCTCTTCATACACCACCAACGCAAGGCCGACACCACAATAGCCAAACTTCGCACGGTGGGAGACCAGGTGGGCCGTATGGTCCGCCGGGTCTCCAACAAGCGGGGCGGATTACGAAGCAGGGATGCAATGCGGCTTGCCCATGCTTTCGTAGCGAGTAGAATACTCTACTCGACTCCCTACTTGCACCTACGCAAACACGAGGATGATCAACTCGAGGTCATCCACCGTAAAGTTATCAAGCGGGCTCTCGACCTCCCTATCACCACGTCCAACCAGAGACTTCTGGCCCTAGGCGTGGTGAATACCTACCGGGAACTTCGAGAAGCCCACCTCGTTAACCAATACACGCGCCTTGCACAGACCCATTCCGGTCGCCGCCTCTTGGACCGAATACACATCAAACACGATTACTATATTGAGGAAAGGGTGAGAGTGCCAGAACCTTGGAGACGCGCCCTCCGGGTCCGACCCCTTCCCCGCAACATGTCCAAAGAAAACCACAGTGGTCGCCGCCAGGCGTGCGCGGAAGCGTTGCAGCGACACTTTGGTCAAGAGGAACACGTGTGCTACGTGGACGTTGCCGGCCCGCACCATGGGGGGTGGTATACTGCCGCAGTCATACACAACGCAAACACCGTAAACGGACTCACTTTCAAAGCCTACAGCGCAACACACGCGGAGGAGGTTGCCATCGCTCTGGCTCTCACCTATCCCTCTTCTAAACATATCATCACCGACTCACGAGGGGCCTGTCGGAACTATCAGCTAGGGTGGGCTTCACCGCTTGCTCAGCGCATACTGGAACCTAGCTGCCGATACGTTAATCCAACTCCGCGAAATCTGGTTTGGGCACCCGGTCACCAAGGACTCAGGGGTAACGAACAGGCCGATCAGGCCGCCCGCGCACTCTCTTCCCGGGCTATCTCCCTGTCTTTGGAAGCCTACTCGCAATCAGACAATTCGGCCCTTTCATTCAAAGATATTACCAATTACTACAAGGAGGAGCACCGGCGCTATCCAGACCCTTGTAAGGGACTGCATCGCGCTGACGAGCGCCTCCTTTTAAAACTGTTTACTAATACCGTACTGTGCCCGGCGGTGCTAAAACATTTCAATTCATCCTTTGATGGCACGTGCCAGTTCTGTGGTGAGGTGGCTGACAACTTTCACATCGTCTGGGCGTGCCAGTCTAATCCATCTATCCCCCCCAACCCCAATCCCACGAGAGAGGACTGGGAGGCGGCCCTGCTCGGCTGTCAAGACCTGAAGGCCCAAGAGGCTCTGGTTCAACGTGCGCGGGCGGCGTTGCTTGCCAATGGAGCCCCGGAATAGGGGTTCCACCTAGTGCTGTGAAAGTAGGAGGCCAATAAGGCCCCAACCCAATCACCTCTCTGTAACCATTTAATGGTTATTAAATGTTTTCACCACCACCTTGCCGGCGTTCATTTCGTTGCGTCACGCAGGCATTGCCACGCCAGGCGCCGTTTCTACCATATACTCGCAAACACGCGCCGCGCTGCGTTGCTTTGATGCATGCGCGTTTGAGCGCGTCTGGCATCCCTCCGTCACTAAAAGAGGGAGACGCAGTGTGGTCTGGGTAACGCATTGGCGCGACATGTAAAATGTCGCATTTCGTGCACCGGTTGCCGTCAGGCCGCGCCGATGGACGCTGGTCGCACCTGGCATCTGACTATAGCGTGCTCATGTTTTGCTAAAGTTGCGTCGCTGTGTCCAGCGTGCGTGCGCATCAACGCTACATTTGAGTATACTGGGTCTTTCATGATGCGCTCGTAGCTGTTTTGCTAGCTCCACATATACCAAATTTGCTGTTACTTGACTTCAATGGATGTCTAAATATATGACTGGTGCAAACATGATAATCCTGACACGCGTATTATGTAGGAACATGACAACATACCACGCTCATTGCGTGCTCGCGGCCGTTTCGCTAGCTCCACACATACTAAATTTGGTATTGCGTGACGTGAATAGATGACGAAGGTAAAGGGCACATCCAAATATGATAATCATGGTACTGAAGTCATGCAGCGCATCATTTATTTTCACCTCGCAACGTTGTGTTGATTTTAAAGTGACATATCAATATTTCTCATTTGTGCTTTGCATATCATCGATTCCCACTGTACATGGAATCTGCCAATTTTTTAGCTACTTTTGTTCGAACATTCACAAAGACATATTTATGGCGTTTCATTGATAAAGATATCACGCCGCTGAGCACAAGGCCACATGCTCTATATCTCACCTGAGTGACCGAACTTAAACGAAGGGCAAATGAAAGAACGTCCATACATCTTGACTTTTGCGAAGCTACACGAAATAACCATAACTACTGTGGAATATTCTACCATGGCATAATTCGTACTTATAGCGTCATTGTTGGGCTCGAAACTATGGGAGTTATGTTTTCTTTATTTCATTCACGCGGTTGCTTTGGGTCTCTGCAAAAGCTCGATTCTGGTTAGGTACAAAAAATAATACCACCTGCGGTATTACGCCCCACAATGACGATATGATTATGAGAGAAGCTGTAGGGCTTCAAAAATTTGGACAATGTGGTGTCCATTCCCAGTGTAGGGAAGAAGAGCGGAATTGGGGATATCTGAAAGTGGTGCCATCTTTCGGCAGCAGAAATGGCAGCCTGCAATAACTGAATGAGAAATACGTTGAAAAAAATCATATCTCAGGAAAAAAAGCTTGTCACCAAAAATGAATCCGGTTATATGCATTAGAGACGCAATGGTTAATTTCGGTAAAATGGCAATATCGCACAACAAAGCGTGTAGCTTCCCAGGGCCATTGAGCGCAACCCGCAGAAAAACATCAGATTACATTGTTAAATGATAAACGCTGTGGGAAGCCAGGTGGTTTGAATTGCAGCGCTGTAACTTTGCCAGAATGGTCAAGTAAGCTTCTGCTGTATAAAACCGGGAGTCGTTTTGGACAACTAGTTTTGTTCGTGTATTTTCTATACAGTTATGGCAGACCACCACTGTGGCTCACGAGAAATGGCACGACGCGCATATGTCCCCAAATTCTGGTCATGCGTTGTATTGCACTGACATCGTATTCTACACGGGCCTCTGCCACTCAATCCGACTCAATCGAAATGGCACTACTGTGGCCGGGATTGAAGCCACAACCTTCGAGCCACCAGCCCAGTACCGCAAACCCTTCTGTGACATGGCGGACTCCGGTGAGGTCGTCCAAGAGCCCAACTGGTAAAAAAAAATATGGGAAAACGTGCAAGTTTTTTTCCGTTCTTGGCGAAGAGTGTAGAGTTTTGGCGTAATCATAACTAACCATCGTTTTAGCTCCTGAAACTAAGTTTGCCATGGTACTGAGTTCTTTACCGTAGATATGAACTATAAAAAATAATCTCCATTGTCATATAGTGATTCAACAAAATAATTTCAGCTACACTAGAGCCGAGTCTTCGTACTGCACTTACTTCTTGAAGGCATTGAACCAGTTTGTGATGTACGACCAGAGGGTGCAGAATTGGTCGAAGTCAATCTTGTTGCTGAAGTCCCGGTCGAAAATTTTGACCATGAGGAGCACGAGCTCCTCGCCAAACGGCTTCCAATTGCCGCTGGCGAGTGCCCGTTGCAACTCGGACACATTGATGAAGCCCGTACGGTCACGGTCCATTGACTCGAACACTGACGTCAGGAAGGCTTTATCCCGGATCGGTGCCAGTGCGCTGGATTTGCCAGCCATGGCCACTCCGTCCCCGGGCCGGTGTTCCTGCGGTGCTATCAGCGCGAATGCGGAGAACGGGCGTGAATACTTGCGATATGGTACCACAAGAAAACATTGTTGTAAACCTTTGTTTCATTGTTTTTTCCTACATGGTCAACTTCAACAGAAAATGCTGCTTTTTCACCCAGTTGTGCTAACTTGTTTTTTTTTCATAAGACTTCTTAGCACCCATTGCAGGCTTAAATTTCAAACCATCGTGTGAAACATACTTTCACCACGTTTCAGAAACACGGTATATCAGATAGCGTCATCAATTTTTTTTGCACGGTAATAACACTCATATGCATGGTTCTGGTCAAAAGCTCCCAGGTTACGGTTCCATAGAAATACTTAGAATAGTGGCCTAGGAACTTCGGACCCTCTGTACTCTTCAACAGCGTGCGCGTTTTGCTAAGCGCGTGCGTGTGTGTGTTTGTGTGTGTGTGTGTGTGGGAGTTCTTGGCGACAGGAAACACACTTCACTCTGTCATTTCAGAACTTGCCATCTTCGCAACTCAAGCGTCCTGCAAAGCACTAAGGCAGTATGCAGCCAAGAAAGGGGTGCACCACCATCAATTTTACTAGTTAGTTGCAAGAGCTTTTCTTACGTGCAGCATGCCATGCCATTTTTGCGGAACATCCTTTCCTTGGTATAATTCGCTGAACCCTACACTTGAGGCGCTGCATATCGTTCATTCGTTGCATGCAGATACACGAGTATGTCAAACCAAATGTGAACTTGGTTGCCATTCATAATGATTTGGATAAAATATTGCAAGTGAACTGCGTAACTACATAAAACGTTAATTGAGGTAGATCCTACTTGGAAGCAGTAAAGATACGTTGTTCACAATATCGTGGTACAACAGTGATGCCTGCCCCGTTATTGACGCGCAGATGCTACGTCACCACCGGCAAATAAAAACTATACATGAAATCATTGACGTTCTTGGCGCAGCGAGAACTTACCGCTTTAAATTGTTGTGGCGTGGATACACATAGCAACCTAGCACCAGCAAGCCTTTCTGTGCGGTGTGAAGACAATCGTAATGATGATGAGGGCCTACATGAATGGCTCGCACCCACTCTTTGGCATTGGCGGCGGGAACTTCTTTCTTCCTCTTCTTCGTCCTGATGTGTTATAGAGCCCACTAGGATCCGTGGCTTCTACACGAGCAGTCATGGAATGGAATGGAATGAAAAAACTTTATTTCGGTCCTGCAGGACGCGCTTAGCGCGTAGCGGGCGTCTCCCATGTAGGGACCGACAGGGAGTACCTGGCGGCCGCTTCGCGGGCCTGCTGGACAGCCCATTGCTGGTCGGCGAGAAGTTCGCTCCTGAGGGACCTCTCCCACTTGCTTGAGGTAGAGTCGGGAGGAGTTGTTCTACACTCCCAGAGCATGTGTTCGAGTGTCGCTGTGTGTCCACATGATGGGCATGTGTCGCTGGGGTATGCATCGGGATAATAAATGTGAAGCGTGGCAAGGTTTGAGTACGTGTGTGTCTGTAATAGGCGTAGGGTTAATGCCTGTGGTCGGTTAAGTTTCGAAAGTGGGGGTGGGAAAATGCGGCGTTCCAAGTAAAAGTGCTTTGTAATTTCATTGTACGTGATTGGTGCATCCCGATTGGTATCCAACCCAGCAAGATGAGGTTGCCCTGTGGCAGCGCGGTCGGTAAGTGCGTGCGCTGCATCATGGGCGATCTCGTTGAGGTTGGATAGGGCACCCGGCACCTGGCCGAGATGGGCGGGGAACCAGATGACAGTGTGGTGCTTCAGGGCACTTGGGTCCGCATTGCGCAGAATGCGTAACGCCTGGTCGGAGATGACTCCGCGTTCGAAGGCTTTGATGGCCGGCCTGGAGTCGCTGTAGATGAATTCCCGTTCGCTGTCGAGCATAGCTATAGCTATAGCTACTTGCTCCGCTACTTCGGGGTTTCGGGTGAGGATTGTGGCTGAGTTAACAGTCTGCTGCACGGATGATACCGCGACCGCGGCAAAGGCTTGGTTGTTGCGATAGGCAGCGGCGTCCACGAACGAGACGTTGTCCACTTCCATGTCTATGCGCTTGAGAATGGTGGTCGCCCGCGCAAGGCGCCTGCCTCTGTTGTATTCGGGGTGTACATTTCGTGGTATGGGAGCGATCGTGATAAGGTCGCGGATTTCACGGGGAATTAGAGTCAACTCTGGGGGGTCCCGAGCCCTCGAGGAGAAGAAGCCGAGCTCGCGCAGAATATGGCGGCCTGCCTTGGTGGTAGTGAGTCGGGTCAATTGCACACGTTCCTGAGCTTCGGCGATCTCTTCTAGCGTGTTATGTACGCCAAGCTCAAGGAGTTTGTACGTTGGAGTGGTGATAGGGAGGCCAAGGGCTCGTTTGACCACCTTGCGAATAAGCGCATTGAGTTGATCGCGCTCAGCACGTAGCCACTTGTGTATAGCGGCAACGTAGGTAAAATGGCACAAAACAAACGCGTGTACGAGACGCAGCAGGTTGTCTTCTTTGAGGCCATGGTGCCTGTTGGCTACTCTACGTACGAGTCGTATGGCATTCTCAGTCTTACTTCTCAGCTTGTGTACTGTTTGGGTGTTGCTTCCGCGGGACTCGATGATCATGCCGAGAACCTTGATGGTGTCTACCCTGGGTATAAAACGACCATCTCTGGTGTGGAGGGTGATATTGCGTTCCGCCGGAGGTTTCCAGCCTTTGGACTTGGCACCCCGGCGTTTGGGCAAATATATCAACAGCTCCGATTTCGCAGGTGAGCACCTGAGACCGGTGTGGTTGAAGTAAGACTCGGTGATGTCGATAGCCTCTTGCAGGGTGGACTCAATGAAGCCATCCGACCCTGTGGAGCACCATATGGTTACATCATCCGCATAGATAGTGTGATTTAGCCTGTCTATTTTTGAAAGTCGTTCCGAAAGCCCGATCATCACGAGGTTGAAGAGCGTGGGTGAGAGGACGGATCCCTGAGGAGTGCCCCGCTGTCCGAGCTCCACTTCTTCCGACACTAGGTCTCGTACGCGGAGGACGGCTCTGCGTCGAGTGAGAAAAGAGCGGATAAAGTAGTAAAATCGATGACCTAGGCCGAGGGCTGCGATCGCTTTCAAGATTGACGAGTGCGTTATTGTATCGAAGGCCTTTTCTAAATCGAGACCGAGTATTGCACGAGTGTCCCGAGTGTTTCCGCCATCTAGAATTTGATGCTTTAGGAGTAACATGGCATGCAAACATAAAAATTCAGTGTATACGTGGTAATTTGATGAACACTTGTTCAGTCAGTTAACCTCCTAGCTCTCATAGGATAGCACACAGGTAACGCTTAGTCGTCGGCCCATTATTGATGATGTTGATTACCGTCATTGAAGTGATAGCACAGCACCGTGGTTATTGTGTACTCGTGGACTGCCCCCTCCTCCTTGAAGTGATTAAGTTCTCATAGTGGAATTTGAAAAAAAAATACTTTTCAATGATTTGTGCAGTTGTAAGAGTAGTAGAAGAAGGCGTTTGATTCAGTAGAAATGGAAATCAAGAAGGGTGTACCGCAGGGAAATAAAATATCCCCACTGCTATATACCGCATGTTGCAGGAGGTTTTCGGAGGCCGAGAACGGGAAGAGATAGGAATAAGAATACATACAGAATACCTTAGTAACTTGTGCTTCGCCGATGATGTTGCATTGCTGAGTAACTCAGGGCACGAACTGCAGCTCATGCTTACGAAGTTAGACTAGGAGAGCAAAAAGGTAGGTCTTAAAACTAATCTTCAGAAAACGAAAGTAATGTACAATAACCTCGGAAGAAAACAGCGCTTTGAAATAGGTCACCCTGCCCTTGATATTGTAAAAGACTACGTCATCCTAGGACGGGTATAACCACTGAGCCGATCCACGACATTGAAATAACTAGATAGAAAAGATTGGGGTGGAGCACATTTGGTAAACACTCTCAAATCAAGACTGGCAGATTGCCGTTATCCCTCAAGAGGAAAATATATAACAGCTGCATGTTGCCGGTACTTACCTAAGGAGCAGAAACTTGGAGACTTACAAAGATACCTACTGACAAAGTGACTTACAAAGAGATTGATCTACCAAGACTTCCTTACACCTAAAATTGAGGACGACGCAGCGAGCAATGGAAAGGAAAATGATAAGTGTAATCTTAAGAGACAAGAAGTGAGCAGAGTGAATCAGGAATCAGGGAACAAACCGGGGTTAAGGATATCACAGGTAATATCAAGATAAGACAGATGCTTGGGCTAGTTGGTGATTGCGAATGAACATATTTGCACAGCGCAAGACTATGAGTAGATACGACGTAACTACAGAAGAAGAGACAAGGACAGAAAGACCGCCGACTTCCACTGAAATTTTATTAGTCAAAATGCTGGAAGTATATACTCGTGACAGAACATCACCGTGCAATCACGAGGAAAGGTTCAAAAAGAGCAAATGAACATGGGCCGGGCATGCAGCGCGCAGGCAGGATAACCGCTGGTGAATAAGTGTAACTGACTCGATTCACAGGGAAGGCAAGCGGGTTAGCGGGATACAGAAAGTTAAATGGGCAGATGAAATCAAGACGTTTGCGGGTATAAGGTGGCAGCAGCAAGCACAGGACCGAGTTGACTAGCAAAACACAGGAGAGGCTGTTGTCCTGCAGTGGACGTAGTCAGGCTGGTGATGATGATGATGATGAAGAGTCGTAAGGTAATTGTATTAGTGTATCTGAGGTGCTATAACTTATCGATTAGTGTTTTCTTCCTATCTTATGCCAAATTATTGTTACCGTCAATGGAAGTATGTATCGACAGGCAACGTGATAAAACAGGCAAATAAAAATACTGCTTGCTCTTTCGATAGTTTGCGACACGAATGACATTGGATACCCTGACATGCTTTCCTTATCTCACTTGTCGAGGAGAGTAGACGTGAGTATTGTTTGGCTGAGGTGACGCAGAAGAAAGAAAGAAAAAGATAATGCGTCTTCAGGGCAGTATAGTTGCTCATGACCTTAGGTGTGGCCGTTACAACCAGCTAGGATGAAGCTGATATGAAGTGGTACAATGTTCATTTCCAATGCGCGAGGGACTGAGTTATATTTCTGTTTCCGCCAGGCATCCAAGTGCTCTTCTAATCACAGCTGCCCCGACCCGACGGTAGCCTGAATTATGCCACGAATCCTGACGATAGCCTTTCCTGCCAAAGTAGTAGTAGTAGTAGTAGTAGTAGTAGTAGTAGTAGTAGTAGTAGTAGTAGTAGTAGTAGTAGTAGTAGTAGTAGTAGTAGCAGTGGTACAGTTGGTGGAAAGCGTATTCAGCATCTACTGAAATCCTACTGGTTGAGCTGCAGGCCGCGTGAGGTAGCAGCGAACAGTCAGGAGTAAGCGCAGGTATTTAAAATTCAGGGCCGGATTTGCAACACCACGGGATCTCGCTAGTCAATCAAATAGTGTTTGACGCCTTCCTAAGCACACGTGCGTTCGCATGCCACTCGTATGCTTTTGAAGGTGTTTTGAGCCGTTTATATGAACCATCTCGCCCATGTGCAAGTTTCACTCCTATCATTTACTTTTGGTGTATCAGAAAGAAGGTAAGAGCCCTGACACCCATGAGCATTATTGATGAGAGTCTGTGCCCGGCAGACACCAGCAGACGCGTTGCTGACGGCGCAGCACATATTATTTAGAAATAAACGAAGAGATATTGTCCCCATTTATCACGTTGGGCTTCAACATCAGGCAAGTAGCGTCATCTCTCGACTAATACTACGACGAGTGTAGTGCGTCCTCAAGGCGTTTGAGAAAACAGATGCCGTTCGTATATCTCGGAGGCACTGTTATTTTTGTTCGTGAACAGCGCTGAAGTTGTCGGCGCTTTGCGCAAGGTGGCAAACAAGTCGTGTAGGCCACGGTGTATCTTGTAGTGTGGTTGTTCTAGGGCTCATCTATCCTCTTCGCCGTGCTTCTTTGTACTACGCCGCGCCACAGTTTGTGCTGGTAAATACTAAATCAAGCTGGTTAGGCAGGGCGTTACTGCGTGTTTTAAAGAAT